AAATGTTCCTGTGAGTCCAGTAAAGTCCTCAGATGCTAAATGAGGCTCTGGTTTTGGTTCTGGCTCTGGGTCATGGTTCTGGTTCAGTTTGATCAGAGGAGAGAGGAGAAGCGCAGCTTTCTGTGTGGATGTCGTTTAAATAAAGTAGATTTAAAAACTCTCTGGTGGAGAAGTTGTTGTGTTTAAATCTGAGAAAAGAGTCTTGAATGTTCCTGTGAGTCAGTAAAGTCTTCAGATGCTAAATGAGGCTGGAGCTGCATGTTGCAGACGGACTCTGACCTAAACCAGAAGCTGAACAGAAACATTCCCCCTCCAGTTCCAGTCTGAAACCGGGTGTGGTTAACTTTAGATGTGTTCATTTCTAACAGTTTGAATCTGTTCTGTTAGAAAGTGAGTTAAATGAGAAGAGTGCAGGTGGAGCTGTTTTCCATCGACTCTTTAAATTTACTGTGTGGTTAATTTGGAGAAGAAAAGAAACCTGAAACTATCTGCAGGTTCAGAGGAGGACTGGTGAGCGTTTCCCTTCCATAAACAGTAAATCTGAACGCAGTACTACAGGCTCCCTCCCAGCAGGGGCTCCCAGTGGAGCTGCTGGTCCTGCTGGGATTGGTGGACGCTCTGGTGTCGGTGTGCATGTTGTCTCTGTGTCTGTGGCTCCTCTCCCAGAAGCCTTCAGGCTGGCTGGGCTGGACTCTCCTCCAGGAGGGAGTGTGTCTGTGTGGCCAGAGTCTGGAACACGTCTAGAAGGTTCTCACTCTAACCACTCTGCTCTGTGTTGTTTCCTCTCTGCAGAACAGAGAATCACAGCTGAAGCTGGACAGGACTCAGTCACTCTGCCCTGTGAACATGGAAAGGAGACAGAGATCATAGCTGTGGAGTGGATCAGACCTGATCTGGATCCAGATGCTGTTCTTTTGTACAGAGATGGTCGTGTAGAGTCAGACGGCCAGCATCCATCCTTCAGGAACCGGGTGGATCTGCAGGACAGACAGATGAAGGATGGAGATGCGTCTCTGATTCTGAAGAACGTGACGATAAATGATACAGGAACATAT